AAGTCACCATCCAATATTCCACTTACAATTAATTATTCCAATTATTTATGGTCTTGAAATCTTGATTTTGAATATTCTGCTTCCTATTCTTCCAGATAATATGCTCTAGAGTAACCAATGCCACAGTTTTCCAACATCACTGAGCCCTTCAGAACTTAGACTCTGCTACTTTGTCACTATTCATCTCTTTTCTTCCTTCCCCACCTTATGTGGCTTAGATTTCATGGCCTACAGTTCCTATTGTTTCCCTGCAAACACTCTCATCTCCCTTGAACCTTCCCTTTCTACTGTAATGGACTGGCAAGTCTCCTAGTGTGAGTATGCTCCCTTTTTACCAGCCTTCCTCACCCCTTGCCTTCTAATTTTAACTCATGGCTTGTTTCATAAATAACTGAGAATGTAGAAGCCATAATCTCCCCACCAACAAATTTAGAAATCTACTTGGGGCTTTGCCTATCTTCACTTCCCTCCCATTAAGAGGTGAGAAGTGTCCCCACTTTTATAGAATGTCAACCTCTCTTCTTGAGTTCTGGATCTCATCTCACTTTCTCAAGAATGTGCTGTTTCAGCAAGTTTTATTAGATCTCTCCTGCGTCATTGGTCTGTCCTACTCTATGGGATCGTCCTCATAGGAGGACGAGGGAGGGAGGAAACATTCTTTCTTCCAGTAAAAAGCCAGTTAATAAATGGAGAAGGAATGACAGAATAAGAAAATCACCATTTGGCAAAATATAATAACTGCTGTTGATTCAGGAAAGAATCATCATTAGTGCTAAAACTAGTGGGTAAAGTTTAAGGAGGAAAGAATTTTGACATAGTCTCAAATTATTTACCTACTAGATATTTATTAGTTTCAATGGGCTGGGGAATAAATTTACAGTGGAGAAACATGGCAATACCACCTTAAGCAAAATATTAAACTTATAATCAGAAGGGGAATGACCATCTATCTCCTGGTATGATGCAGGGAGAAGAACTCAGCATCATCTCTGTGATATTTCTGCCAAAATTGTATGACCTAAATGTAACCACAAGAAAACACTGAAAAAAATCAAATTGAGTTTAAAAAATAACCTTCAGTGCCATGAAATACAAAGAAAGACTCATGATCCATTCCACATGTAAAGGGTCTAAAGATATACAACAACTGAATGTAAGATATGGTATTGGATTTTCATTTTCTATAAAGAACATAAATGGGATAAGGTGTAAAATCTCAATAAAGTCTCTGATTAGAAAATACTATTATAGAGTGCTAATTTTCTGAGGTTGATTTTATTAGAGTTATGTAACCGGGTTCCTTGTCTAAAAATTAGCTTAAATTTTTAAAAATTTTTGAATAAGACTCTCAGGTAATTCACAAGAAATTTAACTATCTACCAAAACAAACCTGCACACTCATTAAAGGAAGACAACAAAACCTAGACACTCAACAGTGTGATACTCACAATATCTAACATCCAATAGAAAATTACCAGATTTTTAAAGATGCAGGAAAATGTGACCCAAACCAGAAGAAAGTTCAGTCAGTAGAAATAGCTATAAATTACAGAGATGATGTAATTAGTAGATAGGGATTTCAAAACAGCTACGGTAAAAACAAAAACAGCTCATGTATGTAAAGAATCCATGAATATAAAGAGGAGAGAGATGGAAGATACAAAAGCAACCAAATGAAACTTCTAAAGGTGCAAAATATAATACCTGAAAGAAGAAATTTATGGAATGGGGGTTAACCACAGAGTAAACACTGCACAAGGAAATATTAGTGAAACTTTAAGACATAGCAATAGAAACTATCCAAAGTTTCCATTTCAAAGAATCACAAAACAAAAAAAGACTGAAAATTAAGAGAAATCAGTGCCTGTAAGATACTATCAAACTGTCCAACATGAAAGTAATAGAAATCCCAGAAAGAGAGTACACAAAAAATTTTGAAAAAATACTGGTCAATTTTTTTTCCAAATTTTATGGAAACTATAAGCCTATATACCCCCAAATCTCAAAGACTCCCAAGCAGGATAAACATTAAAAAAAAAAATCACATCAAAGTATCATAATAAAATCCCCAAAATCAGTTCTAAAGACAAATTTTGTAAAGTAAAACACAAATTATATTCAGGTGAACAAAGATAAGAATATTTGCAGACTCGTAATCAGAAATATTATATACCAGAAAACAGAAAAGAAAGCAGCAGGGGCTTCCGGGAAGATGGCGGAAGAGTAAGATGCGGAGATCACCTTCCTCCCCACAGATACACCAGAAATACACGTACACGTGGAACAACTCCTACAGAACACCTACTGAATGCTGGCAAAAGACCTCAGACCTCCCAAAAGGCAAGAAAGTCCCCACGTACCTGGGTAGGGCAAAAGAAAAAAGAATAAACAGAGACAAAAGGATAGGGCCGGGACCTGCACCAGTGGGAGGGAGCTGTGAAGGAGGAAAGGTTTGCACTCACTAGGAAGCCCCTTCACGGGCGGAGACTGCAGGAGGTGGAGGGGGAAAGCTTCGGAGCTGCGGAGGAAAGCGCAGCAACAGGGGTGCGGAGGGCAAAGCGGAGAGATTCCCGCACAGAGGATCGGTGCCGACCGGCACTCACCAGGCCGAGAGGCTTGTCTGCTCACCTGCTGGGGCGGGCGGGGCTGGGAGCTGAGGCTCGGGCTTCGGTCGGTCGGAGCGCAGGGAGAGGACTGGGGTTGGCGGCGTGAACACGGCCTGCAGGGGTTAGTGCGCCACGGTTAGCCAGGAGGGAGTCCGGGAAAAAGGCTGGACCTGTCGAAGAGGCAAGAGACTTTTTCTTCTCTCTTTGTTTCCTGGTGCGCGAGGAGAGGGGATTAAGAGCGCTGCTTAAAGGAGCTCCAGAGACGGGCGCGAGCCGCAGCTAAAAGCGCGGACCCCAGAGACGGGCATAAGACGCTAAGGCTGTTGCTGCCGCCACCGAGAAGCCTGTGTGCGAGCACAGGTCACTATCCACACCTCCCCTCCCGGGAGCCTGTGCAGCCCGCCACTGCCAGGGTCCTGTGATCCAGCGACAACTTCCCCGGGAAAACGCACAGCGCGCCTCAAGCTGGGGCAAAGTCACGCCGCCTCTGACGCCGCAGGCTCGCCCCGCACTCCGTGCCCCCCCCCCCCCCCCCC